GCCCGGTCTGGCGGCCTCGCCCGAGTTTTCAGCGGGAGCTGACGGAAGTTGTTGCCTCAGGGTAGCCCGGAGTGGGGGAGGGGCGGCTGCCGTCTCACTTCACTGAGGAGAAAAAAAGATTTATTGTGGTGAGGCAGATGCAGCGCTCACCTCAGGGCCTGCTGGTATCCCTAGGGCCGCACGGGGCGAGATTTTACCTCTTCCGCGAGCTTGATAAAGCTTATTTTCATCATCGGAAGTGGAAAACGGCAAAGGGGCATAGAAATCTTGGGAGAAATATCACTAACGACTTTTTTCTTTTTTTTTTTCCCAGTGGTTCTCGGGACTTTGAAGCACCTGCACGTTTGAGTGCTGGTAAACCCTTATTCCCTCGCCTTTTGTCTTCCTTATTTCTGAGGCAATGCCCAAAGTGAAGAGGAGCAGGAAGCCACCCCCAGATGGCTGGGAGCTGATTGAGCCAACACTGGATGAGCTGGATCAGAAGATGAGAGAAGGTAAGTGGCAGAGCTGGGTGTTCTCAGGGATGTGACCCTGAAACAAGCTAATCCTTCACCACTTCCAGAAGCACAGCTTCCCCTGTGAATATAGGTTCACTTTTTTTTATCTCTCTGCCTCAAAGTGATACTTCAGACTGAGGGTGGGTCAGTACTACTGATTGTTTTTTCTGGGTGTGCACAGGCCACAGAGGTTTAGTGTACAGTTGCTTTACAGCACGCCATGGCCGAGCCCTGGCTGAAGCTCACTGGTGTGTGTGTGGAGGGACTGGTAGTTCTTGTCTGTGCTGTTGCTCTGGTCTGATGAGCCAGGGCAGCCATGAAGTCACCTGCCATCCCAGTGTGGGTCGTGTCACCCCCACTGTCATTCTGGTTTTATTTCCGAAAGGAGCTGTTTCAGGTCAGGTCCCTTTTGTTTGTGTCTTCTCCCATTAAACTCTGTCTTATCTCTGTAAAGTATTAAAGTTATGAACATTCTTGGATCAGTTTATTGCGAAGTGACTAAGGAAATGAGTTGGCCACCTGAAATGGTCAGCTGCAAACAGGTGTTTGTGTTCCAGCGGAGACCGAGCCTCATGAAGGAAAGAGGAAAGTGGAATCCCTTTGGCCTATTTTCAGAATTCATCACCAGAAAACACGTTACATCTTTGATCTCTTCTATAAAAGAAAAGCTATCAGCAGAGGTGAGGAACACAAGTGCTTTACCTTGGGCAGGGGCAAACAGAATGGAGCAGGATGTCCACTCATGGATGCACCTGAGCTGGGGCATTGGTGGGAAGGATCAGTTTTCTGGGGAGGGAGGATGGAGGGAAGGCTGGCAGGTCCCTGGCTTTAACTGCTAGTTACCGCAGCTAGTAATTCCTGATAGTGAGTCTTCTAACACTTTCTGGGAGCTTATTGTAATGGTGTCTATTCCTCTACAGAGCTCTACGAGTACTGCATCAAGGAAGGATACGCTGACAAAAACCTGATTGCAAAGTGGAAGAAACAGGGTTACGAGAACCTCTGCTGCCTGCGGTGTATCCAGACACGGGACACCAACTTTGGAACCAACTGCATCTGCAGGGTCCCCAAAAGCAAGCTGGAAGTGGTAAGTGTTTTCAGCTTGTTCCTCTGCTTGTCTGGACCCTTGCAGCACTTGGTCTAACTTCTCCCAGGTCAGGGACAGCAGAGGAGGTAGTGCTGTTCCTCCTGGTAATTTCTTCTAGTTCTAACATTTTCTGTCTTTGCTGGTAGAGTTGGTATCTAGTTGATTCAGAAGTTACTGTCAGCTTTGGCATGCAGTCGCTTAAGAATTGTTAAAGCCTGGGAAACAACAGAAAACTAGATTGTAGAAACCCTGCCCATGCAGACCCATTCTCTGCCTTGAAGCCTGAGCCTGCTGGTCTGTCTGCTCACGTACCTTGGCTGAAATATCCTCCTCGTGTTTCTTTTCCAGGGGAGAATCATTGAATGCACTCACTGCGGATGCAGAGGCTGTTCTGGGTGAAGCCTTTAGTCATAAGACTACTTTTTGAACTCTGAGGGATATCATCCTACGCAATGGACTATTAGTGCAGTTATAGCCACCTTCTGTGTGATTGGATATTTCTGTATAGCAATTAAAATGGCAACACCTTCATCTGGATCATATATACAATGGTGGTTGTTTTGGAGTAGGTTTTTGTGTAGCCACTTATTTCAAAATAAAGTCTGCCTCCCGACAGAGTGGTGTGATCTTCTGGCAAAACATATCTGTGCCCCTCTTCTTCTCTTGGATGTTGTTTGTTTTGTTGGTTTGCTTGAAGGTTGCTCTACATAGTGAGGAGTTCTGACTGTGGGTTGTTTTTTAACCAGCTTTTATCCCTTTCTCAAATAAACTGAATTTAAAAGACTGTGTGTAAAGGAAATAATACAGATCTCAAAGCTCAGTCTGAGTCAAGCTCTTGCCTGATCTTGTGTAGAAAGAAGCTAAACATCACTGCAACTCTCCGCTGATGTCTGTAACCTGGAATTAGTATGTAGACCCAATGCCAGCGGTCTGTAGAGACTTACAGGCTGAAACTAGCACTGAGCTCAGCCACTGTTAAATCAGCTTGTGCTTCTTCCTTGTTTAGCACAGGGTCTGTTAAACTACAGCCTATCTTATTCTCTGCAGTTTAAGAAAAGACCCTGAAAATGTTATTTGCTTCTCCTCAAAACAAAGGACAAGTATTTTATTATGTGTAGTTACCACAAGAACTTCAGTTCATAGAAACAAAAAGCAGCTTTACTACAAGATGTTTTATGGGAGCAAGTTCCAAGTTCTTCCAGCACCAGGAAGATGCAGGACTTCAGTGTCTTGCTCATTGCTACTTCTGCCCTGGCTGCTCCTGCACAGCCTCATCCTTATTGTCATTTACTGCACGTTTCACTGTTCTGTATTTTTCCCAGGGGTGGGGGGTCTCCTCTCCTGCCATTACTTTTAACCACCGATAGTAGTAGCCACGGAAACCATCAATTTTCTCCAGGTATGGGTTCTTTGACTTATACTGCAAACAGAAACCCAACAAGCTTCTATTAGAAGAGACCTCACTTCAGTACCAGCATGCAATAGCTACAAGCTGCTACTAAAGAAACAGCTATCAAGTAGCTGTCAACCAGAGCGGACAAACCCAAAGGAAAAAGATGTAGGCAGACATCTACATTTCCCCTCCCTTGTTGGGGTCCTTCATGATGCCCTCACCCTGCGACTGGTTGTGGCTACTTACTCTGTCAAATTTGGGAGGGTACTGCGCTGCAAACTCCAACTGGCGTATGATAACTTCATTGGGAGGCACCTGGTTACTCCTCATGTCTCGCAGGATCTCTGTCAGGTAACTGTAATCCAGCTGCTTCACGGCAGCGCCAATGAGGGTGCTGTAGATGTACTTGTTGGGAGTTATTCCAGACCTCTGGAAAAAACAAATGTTACAGTTAAACAATTGCTGGCTAGCACAGGACTCCTAGAAGGCACACAGGCAAGACAAGGAGCAAAGCTCTCACTCCAGGACACGTATAGGAGCTTCTGTGGTGCCAGCACACCCCTTCTCATGAGCCCTCTCCTATCCCAGTGCAGGTACAGGACAGACCACCTGCACTGGCACCTATTTTAGAGTTGCATGTTTTTGGTGTGAGAACACAACCACTCACCATAGAAACCTCAGAAGGTCTTTTTTTAGAAGCATTAACGTTTCACTTTGCCTCTTCCTGCAGCTTGAACCCAGTTTATTACCTTCAAATCTGATAGTAACTGCATTCCATCCTTCTCTCGGTGGCAAGCGATCGCCAAGTTACAAAAGGTCTGGAGGTTGGGTGACAGTCCCCGCTTCACTAGAGCAGGCAGCACATTCTGCAAGATACAAGTGTTGACATCAGTTTCCAAAAAGACTCACTGTAGCTTTCCAGGCAGAGAGCTGAAAGTGCTGGAACAGAATACATAAATACTTGAAAATTAACCCAAGCACTGGTTTGTGGAAAACAGTGCACGATTCCCAGTTTCTACTGTGGATAGAGGAACAGGTCTCATGGCAAAACACAGCCAACACAGGAGGCCTGAGACAAGGAGGTGGTGACAGGGCTGGTTCTGGGGTTTTTTTACCTCACCTTTGCTCCTTCTAGGTCTCCCCGTTTACTTCTCTTCCTTATTAAAGTGTTAAAGAATGTCACATCTACTTTCACTTTATGTTCATCTAGGAGTGCCAGCAAAGAGGACTCCGAGGGGCTTTGGGGTTCCACCAGCTCAGCAAGTAACGTAAATGTTTTAATGTTGGGTTCTGCATTGTCCTCTTTCATTTTATTCAAGAAGCCCTCCACATCCCCCATTAAAGCCAGTCGATCAGACACTGAGGTTACAGTCCCAAAGGAAACCACAGCTGCATTGGGCATCCTGGAATCCAGCAAGTTGGGCAGGTTGCAGAAGTGCTGCTTCTGGCTTAGGTGAGCTTCTTTGGGCTCCATCTCCTCCTGGTCTCTCCTCATCAATGCACTGATCCTGCTGTGAGTTACACCAGGGCTGTCAAGAGTAGCTGGTTCTGTTTCAACCCAATTCACAGCTTTATTTTGTTGCTGGATCAGTTCTTCAGGCTGCACTGAATGCTCCCCAAATAATTGCTTTTCCATAGCTTCCACATCCAGCTGGACAGCAGCTGTGCTCTCTGATCCCTTCTGCTTTTTCACCTTCTGCCTCCCTGGTGCCAGCCTTAGCTGAGATGAGTTCTCATCGGTAGGTTTGAGCAGGAGTTCAGAAGCCACGACTGGATCACCGATTCCACAGTCTCTCGCAGCACGCAGCATCAAATTGTAAATGTGGCTGTCCGCCTTTATTCCAAGTTTGGTCATTTGTTTCCAGACCTGAAGAGGGGAAGAGGAATGGCAGATATTAAATAACAGGAGTGTTTCTAGCAGGCTGTAAGCATATCTGTTAATGGTATCTGCTTGCAAAAAAGGAGCGTGTTCACAGCATGATGAGGTGAGGTGCCACTGACAGTGAACAGCCACCTCGAGCTAGTACAGTCCTGTGAGATCATCCAGGGTGGTTTACCCAGGTACGATACGTCCTGATGGAAGTCTGCTCTACAGAACTTCTAGGAGGAGCTGAACTCCTATTCCATCAGTTCTGAGCAACCCGCTGCCTTCCATGAGTTCAAGTGATGAGTTACAATACAGAATTGCTTTTTCCTCCCCACTTAGAACATGAAGACAAACCTGTAAGGCGTGTCGGAAGCCATTTTCACTGTCCTTTATGCAGCTCATGAGAAGGAAGCTGAAGGTCTCGGCTGTGAGAACATGACCCTTGTGCACAATTTCCTAAAAGAGCAGAGAGAGCACTAAACTTCCCAGTTACCCAAACCGCCACAGCTGGCTGTGAAGCTCGAATACTGCTGTTGTCTTCTGTGGCTACAGCAGCAACAAAGCATAGGGTGAATGCCCAGTGCTGTGAGCAGAACGATCGCTCCAGGACAAAGAGAGCCCCGAAACACCTGCACAGATCCTAGCTGCTCTGTGATAGGAACTACAGGGAATATGGGAGCAGGAGCAGCTATTCCCAGACTGGCCCGTCTGAGAAGAGCTGCTGTAAGAGCTCTCAGAGGACCTATCAATATATGGCTCTTCAAAATGAGGAACGAGACAGACACAGTAGCTCTGAACTCCAAAAAACTTTGTTCAGTAAGTAACACACCTGACCAGTTTGAAAGCCAACCTCTGCAGCTGCCTCCTCTTACGTACTTAAGCTTAATGTTTGGTATATACCAATTTTATGAGACACCAAGGATGAATGAAACATAAACATGTGATCTGTAATTACCTCTGCTGAAAATGAAAGAAAAATTGCAAAATGTCAACTTCCAGGAGCTTTAACTAGAGCAGACTGAATTTAACATGAGAAAAGTCCCATATTCACCTTCAATACATCGAAGCACATCCTGAGATCTGAGCACAGGGCACAGACCTTCAGCAGTGCGTGGTAGGTGATCAGGTTCAGGTCCTCATTCTTGCTCTTTAGCTGCTGCCGTAATCTGAGAGCGCTCTGCAAGCCCGAGTCTTTCCACGGTGATTCTGCACAGGCATTGAACAGGGCTGTGTAAGTGGCCTCAGTGGGAGTTAAGCCTCGTTTCTTCATCTAAGGGAAGTGAAGAAGAATTTGAACTGGCCTTTCAGGAAAGGTCTTCTAGAATTTCTTAACTTGTCTTTAAGAGTTTCAGGCCAAGAAAGCGCAGACACTAACTCAAAGGAGTTTTGGAGACAAAGTAACATGTTCAAATTCTTAAAGGGTTTTAGGTTAGAAAACATAATGAAGGTTTGAGACAGGAGAAAACATAAACCTACATCATTGTAGAGCCTGAATGCCTTTTTCACGTAGCCAACCCGGCCGCAGCCGCCAATTAGAACAGTGTAATTGCTTTCTTCTGGCCACACACGCTCTTCCTTCAGCATCTGCACCTCAAACAGCTCCAGAGCCTCTGCCAACTACACAGAAGAGGAAAATCCATGATGAGGCAGCAAGAGAATCAATGTTGACAGATATTAATATACACAGCCGTGGACTGATTGTGGTAGAAGTCCTACAGCGCATGGGAATCCTCGTGAATTCTTATTTTACTTCTTTCTGTAAAGATATTAAGTGATAGGACAATACAGCTGGAGCAGAGTTGCGTCTTTCATCAATAGTACTAAAAACCAAATAAGCAAAGAGCCAGGCACAAACCTTGTCATCCTTGATGAGGGCCTTGCATTTTAAGAAGTACCAGTACGGGGTGTTCTTAGGTCCGCGTCGAGCTTTTCTTTCTGGTTCTTCCTCTTTCTCTTCTTGAAGCTTTAAATTCTGAAAGCGTGATGTGGTTTTGTTGTAATATTTTCTAGAAGAAAATTTATCCGACAGTGTGCCGAACTCCACACCTTCGTCTTCATCCTCCTCCTCGCCAACAGCTCCAGCGCAGCTGCCGGTACCGACCTCTCTGGGGTCGCTGCCGGGCCGCCTGCAGGACGCCGATGACGAGCGGAACGGCCTCCAGCCCGGCAGCAGCCCCTGGCCTGGGGGGTCCTGGAGCAGACGGGGCGCCCCTCCGGCCTGCTCGGGGGCC